TATAAGGGAATATTACTCAGGCATCAACAAGAATGAAGTCTTGCCATTTGTAATGACACAGATGGGGTGTGTTATGTTAAGCAAGTCAGTCAGTCAGAGAAAGACAAATAGCATATGATTCCATTCATATGTGGAGTTTAAGAAACAAAAGCAAATGATCGTAGGGGAAAAAAGAGCAGCAAACCAAGAAACAGATTCTTGACTATGGAGAACAAAGTGATGGTCACCAGAGGTGGGGGTGGGGAGATGGGGGAAATAGGTGATGGGGATTAAGGAGTTGTGATGAGCCCTGGATGTTAAATGTTAAGTACTGAATCACTAAACTGTATACCTGAAACTAATATTATACTGCATGTTAACTACCTGGAATTTAAATAAAAGCCAAAAAAAAAAAAAAAAAAAAGAAGATGGATAAGCAATATCTTTTTTGAACCAAGATTTTTTAGGTTACCCTGAGGCCCACTGCAGGCAGACTTGTGCATATGAATTTCAAGAAGATAAGCCATTTTATAAATAAGCCTATTTGATGCTAAAAAGGTATATACAATTGTTACACAGCTGTTAAGGTGATGAAGCTAAAAAATGATGCTCTTTTTTATAACAGAAAGTATGTTTTATGGAAATGGAGAATATATTATGTTATATGGAAACAGGAAAATACTTTACCTTTTCAAGACCAAACTTGGTCTCCTTTCAGAGTCTTTTTAAACTTGACTGTCAGACTATTTACGTGATTAGAACTACTATCCTTACTTCCAAATGTCTCTTGATTTCTTAAGATCCCCTGCTTCACCAGTAAAGTATTTTGCATATTCATTATTCTTTGCCCGTGTTTCCTATTTATTTTTAGTTTTTAATTACATTGTGTCCCTAAGAGCTTTGTACCAGAGATTTATTCATCAGTACAAAATTTTATCCCTCTCAACTTTATTAGACTATTTTACAAACTGGAAAACATTTTCCTTTTTAAAACATATCCATTAATTGTTTCTAATAAGTTCTTACACTTTTGCTTAAAAACTGAATGTCGTTTGTGTTTTTATGACATTAGCCTTCCTGAGTGACTGAAGAAAAGCAATCAGACATGACGGTTGTGTTTCTGTTTTCTATTCTCTGTATTTTCTGCATTTACAGATTATGTTTTGTCTGTTCAAATTTTTTAATTTTTTTTAAGAGAGAGAGAGGGTGCTTGTGCACACAGAGCAGGGAGAGGCAGAGGGAGAAGGAGAGGGAGACAGAATCCTAAGCAGTTTCCATGCCCAGCATGGAGCCCAACACAGGCCTTGATCTCATGACCCGAGCTAAAATCAAGAGTCAGACACTCAACTGACTGAGCCTCCCAGGTGTTCCAGACATATTTTAAAAATATGTATCTGTGCCACAGTTTCTTCAAACCCCCAGTGTGAGGACCGTGTCCTTACACCCATGTTCCTCACCTCCCCTGGCACCAGGGCACCTGGCTTTCTTGTACTATTAAATGCCACCACTGTCCTACAACGAGGGCTATCGTAAAAGACCCAGGAAAAGTCCCAGGTTCAGAGGCTAATGTCTGGTGCAATAACTAAGTGTTCAAAAGAGCTATTATTTACATCCCTGACCCACGAGCCTGGTAATTCATTAGTTGTTACAGGAAATGTTTTTTCAGAATCATCCAGCACTCTCACAGTAATTCTGATGTGAGTAGTTCTGTTACGCTGTGTTTCATCTAAGGTATCCAGCTATGATCAGATCATTATCTGGCTTTTTCCGATCATGAGAAAGGGGGGGAAAATACAACCTTTTCCCCACATTTATTTGATCATTAAGTGGCTGTGTGTTTAGTTTGCACATAGCGGAAATGATGGATTAAGACTGAAGGTGAAGGGATCCCATTAACAAGGAGAAATGTGCCTTCGTGTTTTAAAGGCTGGGAAGGACCTGGTGCTAGCTTCTCTACGTCTTGAGCTTATTTTTAATGACAGCCCATGAATCTCTTGTCCACCTATTTTTCTCAGGAGTCTTGGAACTTCACAACGAAGTCATAATATCCATGGAGTAAAGAGCGGCCCTGCAAGCATCACCTGCAGGGATGATTCAGATCTGTGTATGTGTCCGGGCCCCAGGGGTATCAAGGGTGAATCTTACAGTATGCTGAAAAATGGGTCCCTGATTGATTTTATTGTAAAATTTCCAAATTGGAAACCTTATTATCCAGTTTGTGCATTAGTCTAAAGTAATCAAGTCAGAGTCATGCAAATATTTATCAGTCCTGGTCCTTGCCAAAATAATTGAAACACATCTGTGAATCACAGGTTATTGCCAATTCCTGATAAGCACAGACGAAGGTACAAAACACTAGCTTAAATGATTAAAATTTGATAATAAACATTAAAACAAGATCTGATTTAGTTATGTGCTATGATGAAGAACAACCATGCAGATATAAAGTAGTTACCTAATTCTGACAGTAGCTAATATGGACACCTTTGAACTTACGTGGTGATGATGTCCTTTTCCCTGACAGGAAGTCAGTCACCCTGGACAAATTCTCTACTGGTTTCTGAGTGAGAAACCAACCCCTGACAACATTTGAGTATTAAATATAACCCATAAAGAGCAGAAAAAAAGTCTTCCATTCATCTCTGCTAAGTTCCCAGCCTTAATTTAAAGATTGGAGATAAAATCAACCAGTAAAATTTTATTCATTGGATTTCTGTGACTCCCAAGTGGTTCCTTTTCTTTGAGAATTAAGTGCTGGAAATATATATATATATATATATATATATATATACATATATAATAGTCCCAAATAAACTAATCCATATTATCTCAAACCAGCCATAAAATTCCTTTTAGAGGGGCGCCTGGGTGGCTCAGTGGGTTAGAGCCTCTGCCTTCGGCTTAGGTCATGATCTCAGGGTCCTGGGATTGAGCCCCGCGTCGGGCTCTCTGCTCAGCAGGGAGCCTGCTTCCCTTCCTCTCTCTCTGCCTGCCTCTCTGCCTACTTGTGATCTCTGTCTGTCAAATAAATAAAATCTTTAAAAAAAAAAAATCCTTTTAAATAGCTTGTACACAGAAGAATCGGTTGCCCCATAAAACTGGCATGTAAAATTATAAAATTATAAAATACTGCTTATTTTTATAATCTGTGAAAAGAAGTTAAAACACCATTTTCTGAAACCCAGGTAGAGGACTCATTTTTATCACTTGCCAGAAGAAAAAGCATCTTTCATGAAATTGAGCACCTGCCTACAGAATTCTAAATCTGTGTTTACATGGGTTTAGAAATACCAGTTAAACTGCTGGAACAGGATGGAAATGTCCTTTGACAAGACCTGGGGGGAATTAACAAAGCCTGAGCCACACACATCCTATCTTTGTCCTACCTTGTCAAGTCAGCTTCCCTCGGGCTCAGTTAGAAGTTCTCAAACTTCACCTTGCATCAGATTCACCAGGGGGTGAATCAAACAATGCTGACCCCACTCCTAGAGTTTCTGATTCTATAGGTCTGTGGTGGGCTCAGGATTTGCATGTCTGACATGTTCCCAGGTGATGCTGATGCCAGGGACCCAGCAGAGAACGACTGCTCGGGCTTGAATTCTCTAAGAAAGAATATTCTTTTAACAGAAGAATACTTCTATATTTAGGCTTCTAGGCCTTGGGAGTACTGTATATATTAGCAGCCATTTAGATCATTTGTTTAAAAATGTGGCCACCGTTTGGAACCCACACAGTCCACGTCTGAAGTCCACTGCAGGGTAGGTGGGCTATCCTGTCTTCTAAGGGTCCAGTCACTTCGCTCATGGCCTTTGTGCCGTGTGGTTTTTACCTGCACCACGAAGATTTTGGTTTATTTAATCCCTTGTGAGTTGGCTTTGCATCATGTTAAGAAAGTGACTTCTGTGTTTAGGGAAGCCAGGTTGCCTAACCTAAAACCCTCTATAGATGGGGAAAGGGGAGGTGCAGGGCACAGGCTCTCTCGAGTCAGCCCTTGCCTGGGTTTGAATTCCAGCTGGAATACTTCCCAGTTGTCAAGAATTGTGAGAAAATTGGGAGAAAAACTGACATGATTTATGTTCTTCCCACTTTGTATTATGGATGATTCACTGACATGGGGTGAAAATCACAGAAATGGTAGACTTGGTGGTAGGAATAACAGATTCACTTAGTTATTTGGGAGCAAGTGGCTGGTAAAGCTCACCCCAAGAATCTGAGGTTCCAGAAGCCAAGAACCACAGCTTTTCTGTATTAATTTAAAGGACAAAGAGGGAGGACAAGAACGAATTCTAGATTTTGTTTATCATGGCTAACCTTTATTATGTGCTTACTAATGGCCATTTTGTAGAAAGAGAGGCAGAGAGAGACACTAATAGTCTATATTCTCCTCGTTTTGTTTTATACCTTTAGATGGAGTCAGTTACCCATCAGATGCCTCAAAATCCTATACATTAAAAAAATCCACCTCAGCTTGCACTATACTTGGAAAATGTCACCATTTTTAAAGACAACACGTGTCCAAGAAGCCGAGTCCCCTTTTTTCCAGTATCAAAGCCAAAAGACCAGTCAACTCAAGAGAAATCTTTCCAAAGAAACAAAGAACCATTTGATTAATAAACTTGAAGAAAAGAAAGCGTAAGACAAAATAAAATTTCAAAAGATTTACTCTCAAATGAAAACTAAATATCATCAAAGTAAAGGAAAAATTATGGATCCGTGTTTTGATTTCAAACTATTTCTTACGTTGCTCTGTACCTTTTCTTTAGTTTGCTCTTCAGAGAAACTGTATCTTTAAAACATTACAATGAGATTTGCCAATTGGAAAGGTACATGCAAGAAAGTGAGAAATAATATAATTCTTAAATAACGTTAGACCAGACTTTTAGAAAACTGAGTCATGCAATGGAAAGAGGGCAAACCCTATGCCAAATCTGCTTGCTGAATTGCCTGCTTTGGTACTCTGATACTACAGTGGGTTGTTCTTTCAGAATTAGGTGGTTCTATAAAAAGGAAAGTGTTCTTACCCTCATCCTTCCGTTCCTTATTGCAGGCCCATCTTCTGCCAATCTCAACACGTACAAATCCATTTTGTATTCTCTTCCTCCACGAATGCTGAATCCAAAGCCTTTGGCTCCTTTCTCCATGTCCACAGTGAAATAATCAAAATCCTTTAGATTTGGGCAGAAAATGGAATAAATAGTTGTTTAATATTAGAGAAGCTTCTGTGGTCAGTCTCTCTGTTCTCCTTCTCTCTTATAGTTAATATCTCCAATGATGTGATACTGTGAGAAAAAGTACCCTGACTTCACCATCTAGTAAAAGGCAAGATGAAATTCCAAAGAGTCAAGAAGGTCTTAATGCAGTTGACTTGGTCATTAAGAAAACTACTATAGGGGTGCCTGGGTGGCTCAATCGGTTGAGCATCTGTCTTGGCTTGGGTCATGATCCCAGAATCCTGGCATCGAGTCTCAGATTGGGCTCCCTGTCCAGCAGGGAGCCGGCATCTCCCTCTCCTCCCTACTTGTGCTCTCTCCCTGTCTCTGTCTGTCTCTCTCAAATAAATAAAATCTTAAAAAAAAAAAAAAATCTACTATAGAGCATGTTTACTCCGGTATTCATCCATTTACTTGGCAAACGTAATGACTGCACACAGGCCTGAGTGATATTACCTCTCCTTTGGGTTTTCTCATTCACTGCTGTTGAGCACCATTAATAAATGTATCAGAGGGGTGTGTGTGTGTGTGTATGTGTGTTGTGTATTACAGGTTTGTTCATTAGAAACCGAAATGTGACAGGGTCTCTGAGGTACCTGGGGCTGCCTGTAGTCCGCCAGAGGGTACTGCCTGGTGTCAGGTGAGTGCTGCCTGTAGTCCAACAGGGGAGGCTGCCTGTAGTCTGAGGGTGGGGGTTGCTGGTAGTCTCCTCCCGGTGGCTGCCTGTAGTCCAGTGGCGGCTGCCTGTAGTCCGTGAATGGAGGCTGTCGGATGTCTGGTTTCACATCTTGCCTTGCTTTTACTTCTGACCTGTAACTAAATGAATGGAAATGGGATTTGCTCAGATAACTCAGGATTCTGAGGGGATTACAAGGACCACATGACCTCTAGGCATGGGTGGGCCACCCCTCTTGGTGGTCCTTTTGCGGGTTCAGGACCCTGAGAAAGTTACTGATGAGAAGTACTATTTTAAAATCTTTGACAAATGAAATCAAGAAATAAGAAATTGAGGTAAACATGGTGGCTCAACCAGGGCTTTGTGGAAAAGGAGTTAGGGACAGCCTTCTTTGACTCTGGCTTCTTAAAACCTTGCACAACTATAGCAAAGCTAGGAGCTAAACACGGAACTGTATCTCAGACTCTCAGTCTTTCTCAACACCAGTGAATCAACTCTATCCAACTCTCTCTCTCCCACACACATTCATCACTTCATGAAGCACAACTAAAGTGATCTTAGATCTAAATACTCCATGAATATATAATGAAGGGCTATTTTAACCCACTAGGTTGGGTCCTTTTGACTATCTTACAGAGGTTAAAAGACTGATAGCAAACTCTAATCACCAGCTACAAGTCAAGCAGCAAGTCACTGGGTCATTCCTAAGAGTAGGAACATATTACAGAGTTTAAATATTAGGCTGTAACTACCAGATCAGTATCAGGTGCTATTATCAGATACTACCACAGCCGTAAGACGAAAGGGATGAAAGGGAAGGCAAACGTGTTTGTGTCCAACATTTGTCTCTTTCTCGTTTCTAGATATTCCCTCACAGCAGCCCCTCCCCTATCCATGGCAGTTATATGCCAAGACCTCAGGGGTTGTCTGAAATGCATAGAGTACTGAACCCTGTATATACTATGCTTTTTCCTACATGTACACACCTATGATAAAGTTTAATTTATAAATTAGGCACAGTGAGAGATTATCAACAGAACTAGTAATAACACAGGACAATTATAGTAATATACTGTATTAAAGTTATGTGAGTGTGGTCTCTCTCTTTCAGAATATCTTACTGTCCTGTACTCACCCTTCTCGTGATGATGTGAAATGACAAAATGCTTGAGTGATGAGATGAAGTGAGGGGTGTGACCTACGCACTATGAGTACATTGTGTAGCCTTAGGCTAGGTTATTACTGACCTTCTGACAACCAGTCAGAAGGAGGATTATCTGCTTCCTGACCATCCTTGACCTCAAGTACCTGAGACCATGGGAAGCAAACCTGTAGATTAAGGAGGGGGAGTGGGGGCTTCTGTACTCATAAAATAAGTACAGAAACCAGAGTTAGTTGTTTAGTGTTGTTTTGTGAATCCAAACTGCTCTAAACTGAAGGGGTTCCTAGTTTCAAAAGGAGACTAAGAGAGCTAATGCCTACCATTATGGGATCATTAATAATGTAACCTGAAAAGTTATCACCATAGTATAAAGGCCACTTAATTCTGTAATTCATTGTCTACTGTCACAGCCACAGTCCATAATGAGCTGCTCAGTAATCCAGGAAGATTAAAAAGAATACATTCAATCTAATGACAATTTTATCTAAAATTAATATAAAGGATTTGAGGAATTGAGAAAATATTTAGGACCAAGGAAAAACTCAAATGTGTTGAGAAAACAGGATCTAAACCAGTAGAATTTTTATCTTTAAAACCCAGATTTTTTTTTTTTTTTACACTGGCTTACGGTCTCACTGATGCTGATTATTACTATTTTTAAAAATCACTCACCTGAACAATTGCCATTACTGCAATCTAATATTTGGTGAGGACACACTAAGAATGCAGAGCCATAGATATATTTACTTGGGGTTTTTGGAGGAGGTTTTCAATCAACACTTTGAGCAGGTCCCGTTTATAACTTAACCCTGCAGATGGGACACATTCCTCTTGGGGACTGCACAGTTTGGGCTTTGCTTTGTAGCTCAGCAAGGTGTCCAGTGCACTCACAGATTGGGAGTATGCATGCTGAGAGCAGGATTATTTAAACATGCTTTGAATACAATGCCGAACCACACAAATGCAGGAGTTAAGCAAAAAGAACCCAACTGGCCGGCATTTGTTGGCATGCGTTGATGTCTTCCTAGAAAACTATTTGGTAGATTAGACATCACATTGTTTTGAGTCACTCTATTTTCATAATCTGTGTGCCAGGGGCATGCTGTATCTGTTACATGCTCCCTTTCCAACCAGATGTGTCATGAGGTGTAGCAAAAGAGGGGGAAATGTAGGCTCCCCAAAGATTACGCAGCAACCCAGAATAGGAGCTGTTAAGATGCAAAAGCTGTCACCCACCCCTGCCTTCTGGTGCTCAAACACGCATTTGACCCCAGTGCCGAGTGTCAGGATTTTATGTTGAACTGCACATTGAGGAGTTTTTAATAAGGAAAATACGCTTAATTTTTTATGTGTGTTGCTGACTTCTAAGTGAATGATATCCTGGCTTGGGCAAAAATTATGTTGCTTTGAATGTATAAAAAACTCTATTTTCAGGAAAACTCAAGATGATTAGAAAAAAATACGGCCTCTTTAAAATTCCTTTACTCTTTGTAGTTGTTAATTCCATTATTAATGAGATTTTAGAGATAATAAAACCAGATTTCTAGTGACAAATTTTAACAGAATTTGATGGTACGAGCAAGTTCCAGAACCAGGAAACATGGCCCGTGATCGGGGATCTTGTGGGATTTTGCCTCATATGGGCCTTTTAAGAATTCCTTCCAGCCTTAAGCATCTAGGGTTTAAAGTCTGTGAAAGAAGTCAATTTCCAATGTTCTTCCATTGACCTCGCCATTTAAAATGCAGTCAAATATTAATTGCCCTAGCTGGGGAAGGTGAACTCTGCTATTTAGATTTCCACATTGGCTCTTTTGCTGTTTTCAACAAACACTTCTCCTTGACTACTGTTTTGTTCATGTCCATATTAAAACTATTTTGTTTCCCACGTATACACTGAAAGGATTTTAAGGGACAGATAAATAAGGAGAGGTGTGCGGGGTGTCCCTTGGAAGCCAAGCTGAGAGTAAACAAGATGGGATTAGAACATTCAGTCATCCTAATCATAGAATGAGCTTTGCAAACAGACTGCCATTTAATTTTCTCCGACTTTCCTGGGGAATCAGGCTGGATGTGACATGGAGCTAGGTGGGCACTTCTAATACAAACGAACTAATAGGAGACACATCCAGGGTGCTTGGCGTACAAGCTATCTTGAAGACATCTCTAGCCTGATCCACAGAAAGGCAAAGAGTTCCTGATACACTGACCATTTTTAAACGCAGCTAGGAAAATGATTCTGGGATCTGTAAAATGATTAATCTCTTCATTCATATGTAAATGAGCCACTTGCTAACCATCAACAATGAAGGCAGGAAACCAGAGTGCCAAGAAAGGTCCCTCTAGGAGTCAGCACTTTCCAGGCTTTTAATATTAGTGAAGCAACAACAGCTAAGAACTCCGGGAAAATTCGCTGTTGATTTATAAAAATTTGAGTCAGGTCCATCTGTTAATCTCCGGATTAGGAAATATTTTATTCTGTAGTCAGGACAAAAAAATATTCCAAAGACTGCTGCTTCTCTGCTAAGGGACGACAAGTCCCACCTGTGAGGTAGTAGAAGTTGGGGAATGACCGTGACCTTGCCCAGATGTTATTCCCCACACTGACCCCGTAACATGACAGGAATGAGATTACCCACCCCAAAGCCAGAAGCAAGAAGCCAACATCCAGGGGAGTCTGACTCTGGAAAAGTGAGATGGAACTGTGGCTGGGAGGTTTGCAGACAGTGGGAGAGTCATCAGAAGACTCTGAATCTGGCTCAAAGACTGCATCCACTCAGCCACTTCTTCCTGAGTCCAAAGGGGGATCTGGGGAAAGCCTGTGCGATCCGTTGAAATAGGGGACACATCAGTGGCTTATTACTGAGGCAGCCAGGACTCACTCCTCCTACGGGTGGTCAAATTCTTACCTCCCTATCATTTGCTTTACGGTCTTTAGTCTTTTTTCTTCCCTGGAATAGATTAAACCCATAACCAGCTGAGGACAACAGACATTTCCTTTTCCGTGAAAGCAAACGGGAGAGCTCTGAGGAGAGCAGGGCTTTCTGGAAATAGCACCTGTGGCAGAGAGAAAATATTTGCTTTGCAGCCTTGTGAGTGATAAACCCACAGAGTTCTGGGACTTGGAAATTTGGTCTCACTTCATCTTCACCAACACGGGAGGCAGAAGCTGGGAAGCAGATGTTCAGAAAACATTAGAATTATGGAAAAGACCGGCGAGAGTTTTGTACACAGAGACGTTCCTATAGATTGTTCTGTTTTTCTCCTCTGAGAGAGAGGACACAGCATGGGAACGTGTCTTTATCTCTTTATTTAACGGCTCAACCTAACCCAGGCTCCCTGTCACACATGAGTCGAGTCGCAATAAGAAGACAATGCTGTTCTAATAGGGCATCCTTTTCTTCTAGAAGATCAAAGTGCCTTATTTACATGAGTTTTTGATCTGGAATGGAAGAACCTCATTAGATCATGGTAGGAGGCTCTAAGGCAATGTGCAGTAAAAAAATGCTGACGTTTATTAATGTTTACAAGTCTTTCCACACGTGCCCCTCTCCACACCACCATTACTCTCTGAGCCACCACCGTCATTGACCCCAGGACATTGGCAGCCACCTCCAACCGCTGAGTAACCTACATCCACTGTGACCAGCCTCTAGTCAGTTCTCCAGTTGGCCAACTGAGAGGCCTTGGAAAGCAAATCCAGGGATGTCCGTCTTCAGCATAAAACCCATTCCAATGACTTCTCACTACACTTAAGACCGAAATCTTTAACATGCTCATAAGACCCTGTAGAGGGGCCCCTACCACTCCCACTGGCTTCATCTCAAACCATGCTCCCGGCCTCTTTCCTCACTACCTTATTTCCACCTCTTTCAAGGTTGCTTGCTCCTTCCTGCCAAAGGGCCTTTGTCTATTTTCTTTACTCTAGACTCTCTTCAATGTGCTTTCCAGCTTCGTTAGCGCCTCCGGATCTATAACTGCTCATCACTTCTTCAGGAAAGGTTCTATTAATGTGAAGAACAGACACTTGTAGTTGCTAGTAAAATCACACTTGTGACACATACACACCATCTCAAAATCACAGAGAGGCGGACATAGCGATTTCTACTTTATGAAAAGTTCTCTTCTGCCTGTGTCGCGTCCTGTCCTGTCCCAAACTCTCCTCCTCCCCACCTCCTTCACCTCTCCGAGTCAGAAAAGCCAGGGGAAATTTTACCTATTTTCGTGTCCTTGCAGCTGAAGTGGCTGAGGAGGAGCTGGTTGGGCAACAGGGCTGTTGGGGGTGGCCGGGCTTGGCTGGGCCAGTGGACTCTGCTGGGCCATCGGGCTCTGCTTCTCTGAGCTGGGCGCCGAGGCTGGGCTGTTGAGCTCTGCAAAGGGGAGCCAAAGTGGCAAATGCAATCAGTTGGCATCTGATAAAGGGCCGCCTCAGAGACTCAAGGCTTTGGTTATTTCAGTTTCCATTAGACTTTAAGACGACAGGTTAAACTTATCAATTATCCAATCAAGTTCCAATACCATTCCCAGAATTAGTGTTATGTCATTAGTTATAAGTGTTGCTGAGCAAGGTCAGAAACAGAGTCTCTTGTCATTTTGTCAGGAGAAAAGATTCCAATAAAAAAAAAACAATTAAAACAATGAAAATATAACCCATAGGAGTGAGCTCTAGAACATATTCTATTCTATTTTTCCAGTGTTGCCCACTGACGGAAAACATTTAAGCCACCACTTTTTGGTTGTAATGACAAGTCCTACTGGTATTCCAAAGTTTGGATAAGGAACTTAATATAACAGAAATAAATGCTTTTCACAATGTTCTCTCTAGGCCTTGTTAGTCTTATTCTTTAATAACCCCCTGAACTCCCTGATTCTTCAAAGAAAAAAAGACTATCGGATAGAAAAATGTTCATGAAGTTGTTCTTGGTTAAAACAGCTTCTTGGATTTTCCTCTAATAGCCTCACACGTTCAACTGAAATTATCTGTATATATGATGTGATAGAAACAGAACAGACATATTTCAGCCTGGGGAAAATGGAAATGCGAGCCAGATTTTTAGTGAGCAATCTTGCTTAGAGTTAATTTCCATTAACTGTTTTACACGTAATGGTGTCTGCAAATAATAGGTTAAAAAGACCATGGTCATTTTCTTTTCTGTTCTTTTTATTTGGTTGGGTGATGAAAGGGACATGATCTATTCCTTTATAAGCCACTCTTCCCCTTTCTTCTCTGACAGCCCAAATTTTAAAATTTCTTCTCCCCCTGAAGGGTTTCTCAATCTCAGCACTGTTGACATTTGGGGCCAGATAATGCTTTGCTGTGGGGGCTGTCCTGTGCCCTATAGGGTGATTAGCAGTGTCCTCACCCTTGACCCCCCAGATGCCGGTAGTACCCCTATCCCTATAGTGACCATCAAAAATGTCTTCGAACCTCGCTGTACATTCCCCAGGGAGCAAAATCATCTCAGCTGAGAGCCACTGTTTTATACTGCAAGTCCAGTGACTGCCTGAGGCCTCAACGTCTTATAGCTCCAAGAGGGAATCAGGAGACAGAGTAAATTAGAGGGGACCAGGGGGAGCAAACCCATCCCTCTCCATGTGGGATGCTGCGACCCACCTACCGGTGATCTCCAGGGACTGCGTTTTCCAATGTCATTAATGAGTCAGCAGCTACAAACCAGTAATGAACTTGCTGTGTCTGGAAACGGTGACTTTTGGTGAACAGGCACTTAGATCCCTGTGGCCCTCAAGGCTGTGAGTTGTGATGCTCACTACTCTTCAGGCCTCAGGGGGGCAGCCTTACACAGAGAAATTCAAAAGACTAAGTGGGGGAATTTAAAATTCTTATCAGACGCACCATTTAAAGACAGTCTCTTCAATAAATGGTGCTGGGAAAACTGGACAGCTATATGTAGAAGAATGAAACTCGACCATTCTCTTACACCGTACACAAAGATAAACTCAAAATGGATAAAAGACCTCAACGTGAGACAGGAATCCATCAGAATCCTAGAGGAGAACATAGGCAGTAACCTCTTCGATATCAGCCACAGCAACTTTTTTTTTAATACTTTATTTATTTATTTATTTGAGAGAGAGACAGTGAGAGAGAGTATGAGCGAGGAGAAGGTCAGAGAGAGAAGCAGACTCCCCGTGGAGCTGGGAGCCCGATGCGGGACTCAATCCGCAGACTCTAGGATCATGACCTGAGCTGAAAGCAGTCGCTTAACCAACTGAGCCACACAGGCGCCCCAGCCACAGCAACTTCTTTCAAGATATGTCTCCAAAGGCAAAGGAAACAAAAGCGAAAATGAACTTTTGGGACTTCATCAAAATCAAAAGCTTCTGCACAGCAAAGGAAACAGTCAAGAAAACAAAGAGGCAACCCACGGAATGGGAGAAGATATTTGCAAATGACAGTATAGACAAAAGGTTGGTATCCAGGATCTATAAAGAACTCCTCAAACTCAACACACACAAAACAGATAATCATATCAAAAAATAGGGAGAAGATATGAACAGACACTTCTCCAATGAAGACATACAAATGGCTGTCAGACACATGAAAAATGTTCATCATCACTAGCCATCAGGGAGATTCAAATTAAAACCACTTTGAGATACCACCTTACACCAGTTAGAATGGCCAAAATTAGCAAGACAGAAACAACATGTGTTGGAGGGGATGTGGAGAAAGGGGAACCCTCTTACACTGTTGGTGGGAATGCAAGTTGGTGCAGCCACTTTGGAAAACAGTGTGGAGATTCCTCAAGAAATTAAAAATAGAGCTTCCCTATGACCCTGCAATTGCACTACTGGGTTTTACCCCAAAGATACAGATGTAGTGAAAAGAAGGGCCATCTGTACCCCAATGTTTATAGCAGCAATGGCCATGGTCGCCAAACTGTGGAAAGAACCAAGATGCCCTTCAACGGATGAATGGATAAGGAAGATGTGGTCCATATACACTATGGAGTATTATGCCTCCATCAGGAAGGATGAATACCCAACTTTTGTAGCAACATGGATGGGACTGGAAGAGATTCTGCTGAGTGAAATAAGTCAAGCAGAGAGAGTCAATTATCATATGGTTTCACTTATTTGTGGAGCATAGCAAATAGCATGGAGGACATGGGGAGTTAGGAGAACGGAGTTGAGGGAAATTGGAAGGGGAGGTGAACCATGAGAGACTATGGACTCTGAAAAACAATCTGAGGGGTTTGAAGTGGCAGGAGTGGGAGGTTGGGGGAACCAGGTGGTGGGATTAGAGAGGGCACGGATTGCATGGAGCACTGGGTGTGGTGCAAAAACAAGGAATACTGTTATGCTGAAAAAAAAAAAAAATAAATGAGCTCTCTTTATACCACAAAACTTCCTCCAGCTTTTCAGAATCAATCTGACTTTGAAGAATCCTCCGAAGCTTCACTGTGAACACAAATACTTTTTTTCTTTTTCAGATTTGTAACTCTATCATCTCTGTTGAATGGGTTCTGGCTTCATATCACCATAAAAAGAGTACTCCCGGGACCACAGGGGCTGATTGAATAACCCAGGGTTTTGGGATTCACACTTGTTATCTATAACGTCACACAGCTTGATCTCTGAATGAAACTGGTACGGAGAAAACAGGATCTGGGGCGCATGGGTGTGTGAATTTTTGCAAGTGTGGCAATGAGAATAAACTTTGGACCCTCTTGCCCTGCATGGATGGCAGCCAGGCTCAGGCACTCACCCTCCTGAGGAATGATGCGGAGGGTGACACTGAGACCCGCGTCCTTGATGAGCTTCACGATGTCTGCATGAGGCATGTTGATGATGGACTGGCCGTTCACTGCCAAGATCCGGTCTCCCACTTTCAGTTTTGCACAACGATCTGCGGGACTCCCATCGATGATGCGTCCGATTTTATGGGGCACAGCTAGAACAATCCACAACACAATCAGGTATCAGGGGTGTTCCCAACACATGTTCTATCTTTGCGTCCCAGCCCCACAGGAAACAACACGATGTCAGAAGTCTTCCTTCCATCGGTACATTTGCCTTTGGAAATCATAATCGTGCTTATTAAAGGCAGTTCTGTGCACACCCCTGAGATCAGCGTTTCTAAATTCAGGTCCTGTGCGGCGAGGGACCGATTCCAAACACAGGGACCCGGGGTTCTCACACTTCCGAGCATCACAATTACTAGAGAATTAAAAATACAGCCTGTTGGGCCATACCCCAGCCTTGTCCATCAGAATGTCCAGGCAGCAGGTGAGAATCATGAATTTTTAGATAGATCCTCAAGACATTCCACCACATGCAAAACCTTGAGAACCACAGGCATAAACTGTTGTGAGCTCATATCATAGAGACCATAATCCACAGTTTCAGAAAGATACAATAAATGCTAAGAATTTAATTTTTACTCTTTTCCATTTTATTGACAGGAGAAAACAGGGAAGGAAAGAAATCTGTATTAATGTGGGATGCTGTGGATGGTGGAGACACTAGGCTCAGTTGTCACATCAGTTACTAAGTTTCAGTTTCAAGGTTGATGCAATTTTCAAATCTTACCTCTTCTGATTTAATCGATTAAGTAGTGTTGAGATCTTGCTAATATCTGATGCATAATATATTTCATCAAAACTAAGATGTCATTACAACATACTTTTGTTTTAGGGAAAGAGAAAGAGGGAGGGAGGGAGGGAGGAAAGAAGGAAGGAAGGAAGGCAGGAGGAAAGGAAGAAAGAAAAATGCCATTATGACATACTTTTGTTTTAGGGAAAGAGAGAAAGAGAGAATGAGAGAGGGAGAGAAAGAGAGAGGGAGAAAGAAAGAAAGAGAGAAAGAAAAAAGTAAGAAGGGAGGGCAGAAGGGAAAGAGGGAGGAAGGACTCGACTCTTCTGATTAAACAAGGACACTCCGTGGACTGTAAGATGCTATATAATTTTTTTAGATATTAAAATAAGAAAATGTGCACTGTATTGATCAAAGAGGGCATATGTCTCTTTAAAACAACGAAAACTTTTATTTATTTATTTATTTATTTATTTATTTATTTATTTATTTATGTAGGGACAGCCAGGTACATGAGGATAAAGATTCTTTAGCAGGCTGACTTCTATCCGCTGTAAATGTGTGAGCGCCTATGAGCATACCTATTTCTGGAGTCAGATATCGATGGCACACAGAGTCCCTTTAACCGCCCCCCTGCCCCAAGGAGGTTACAATCTAGAATCCCGTTCCTTTTCCTTTCTCCCTTTTAGACAGGGATCCCAAGCCAGGAAATCACCTGTCAGTGTGACTCTGTATTGTTGCTCTCCCTGTGGACATCAGGTACCCATCTATCTGTGGAAAGCGGCAGAGACACTCATGATTTGTTATGCTCCAGGAATGTCTGTTCCCTGAACTCTCAATCTTACGTACGTGGTACAGCGAAAAGGCAGAACATCCGCTAATAACCACGGCAAGGAAGGATAATCAGTGAGTTAATGACCCAGGGCCTTGATCATATCTCCACTGTGAAAGGTTATAGACCGCATAAGAAAACACTGGCTGAGTCCGTGTTCCTGAAGTCAACGCATCATGTTGGAAGCTCAAACACCTTTTTATTTACCACAGACACTGATGGCTCTAATTAAGAACATCTTACTTAAAGCATACTAAAGATCATCTTAGGCTCTCGGGACAAGGTACTTCTCAAGCAGAAATGTAATAAAAACACATTCATTTACTTATTTAAAAAAATAAGGTATTGCGGGGCATCTGGGTGGCTCAGTCATTAAGCGTTTGCCTTCGGCTCAGGTTCGAGGGTCCTTGGTTTGAGCCCCGCATCAGGCTCCCTGCTCATTGGGAGGTCTGCCTCTCCCTCTCTCACTCCCCCTACTTCTGTTCCCTCTCCCTTGCTGCCCCTCTCTCTGTCAAATAAAGAAATAAAATCTTAAAAAAATAAGTTATTGCAAATTGCTTGATCTTCTGCCATAATGAGAATGGACAATTTGTTCCCGTTTTTGTCCCCTCCCAGTTCGGTACTCCCCTGAACCATGAATACATGTCTCCCTGGTTTCCCACATATCTATTGCTATCTCTCATGTGATCCTTGGAAAGTTACCGGACCTCCCTGATTTGTTTTTCAACAGGAAAATTGGGATAATAATACCACTGACTTCACAGGATGGTTTTGCGACTCAACTGAGTTGTCCCACGTGAAGTGACTAGGACAGTGCCTGGTGTAAGAACTGATCTGCAAGTTTTCACTTTTCCTTCATTCTTTTTATTACTATTATTTTTTAATGGTTCTGATATCACTATTGATATGTGCATATGCTTGTGTGTAGATAGCAGCTTAAATTCTTCCATGTGGGGTAAATCCATCCTATCACTAAAACTGAAGAAATGCTGCACTTATGACACGACAGTATCTCCTAAGGATCACCACAGGAAAACAGCTTCATTTGGGAAGGAGAGGTGTGTTTAGGGGATTATCTACAGATGCTAGATGAGGGCAAGCATCTTGTTTGTTTTTCTCTGGTTTTCCAAAAAAGATGTTGCGGATCTCTGGAGGAAAACACCAGCTTATAAGTAAGAGTTTATTATTCAAAGAGAAATCAGTGTAATATAGACGTCCTCATTATCTGCCTTGAGCCTTACACACACACACAATTATGACTACATTAAAATATATATCATTTTATCCTTAACAAATCATGTGAGATAGCCGATGGCATGACTCCCACATGTTTAGAGTGGAAGAAACTGAGGTACAGTCATCAGCAATTGGCCCAAGGTCACAGAGTCCAACCACGATTTAGAATCCCAGTCTGTCAGATTCCACAGGCTTTGCTCTCCACACCGTGTCTCTTGACATCTTGTGGTCTCTTCTCTCCATGCAAGCACTTGCTGCATGAGCCCCCGGGACTTGTGTTTGGGGAGTGAAGCCTGCCTTGAAGCAGGGAATCACCAACACTTCACCAGTGGCCCTCATTCAGGGGAGAGTGGGAGGTGGAAATTTTGCCTGAAGCTGGTTCTTTGTGGCTGCCGTCTTTTGACGGGCAGGGCATGAGGAGAAAGGGAGAGGAGCGGAGAGGAAGGAAGCAAGGGGGAGGAGAAGAGGGGCGGGGAAACTGGACAGTTCCTCAGATCCCTTTTACTTGGGACTTCACATCATGGTGTCATTCCTTGATTTGAAGTCATTTCTTTGGGCATTAGAAATACATTTGAAATGAAATTTAAAAATACACTTAAAAACACATACAGCTGGTATTTGGATGATTTGCTATTTTGAATTATTCATGCCTCTAACTTCCCTCCATTACTGTGGATCATTTAGAATCTACCGGGCAAAAAACCCCAAATGTTTCAAAACATAGATTTCATACACACACACACACACACACAGGCACGCACGCACACACACATTTTACGAGCTCAATAGCAATAAAAACTAAAACAATAAGTTATCATTTGTTAATTTCCAGGCACTGTGCTAAGCACTTATTTTAAATCTTACAGCAACAGTATGATATAGCTATAAAGTAAAACAATCATGCTTATTTTTTGTCAAGAAAACAAAGAAGTGTCAAAGCCAGATTTCAAATCTATGCCTGTGGCTTCAAACTTTCAGGTTACTCTCTCCTTTTTTTGATCTATGCCAGGTTGGAAGCAATTTGAATTATGAGGACGGAGGGAATGGCTGGTAAGGTTTAGCTTAGGAAAGCGTGCTGCTTGAGATTTTTGAGATGAAAGTTTCATTGTAACCAGATTTATTTGCTTATGATGACAACTCTTAGTTTCAAGGCCATTTTCACTTTACCATGGCAGGTAGAATAAAAACTAAACTAAAATAATAAAAACTAAAATGAAATAATGAAAACTGAAATCAGTCCTACGGTAGCCACTTAGAATGACTGAGTGGCTTACATAAAATTTGACTGAGTACACAATTTAAAAAGGTCTGCCCATAATTGCAAGTATCTGACATAGTTTTGTTAAAATTGTTTTCTATTGGCATTTACTTTAATAAAAACAGTGCTTGAAACTCTTGGCAGCTGGAGACAGCTTTACTTTTCCCTTACCAGCATTTTCCCTACATGTGTAAGTATACTGATCGTTGATGTACAACAAATCATTGACAAAGGGTGTGCTCGCAGAGGATTCTCTCTGAAAACAAGATGCAGTTCCATTTGCTCAGTTATAAGGTCTACAGAGCTTATGACCCAAGTGCTTTCTGTGCATTGCTAATGGAATTACAGAGCATGGAAGAGGCCCTGACCTTGGTTTCTATTATTGGGATGAATGGTACTCGTTAATTCTCTGGGAATTGATGACTAAGGTAACTGTCGGAGCACAGTCCATTGAGACAGCATGCCTTCCAGACATCATCTGTCAGGCAGCAACATGAATCAAGCCTTTGGACCAGTCTTCTTGACAGTGCGCTAAGGATCCACAGATATTTGGGAGAAGTTGCAATATGTCATGTGGCTTTGAACATACTGACATTTGGGAAGGAGACAATGTACCATGACTTAGAAATTTCCCCTTTAACTGCAAATCACATAAAGTATGGAAAAAGAAACTCATCTTTTTTTTTTTTTTATTTCTTTGTGGGTAAAACACTATGGTACATGTATATTTTATATTATAAAATTTCATATTTTTGATTTTATATTTTCCTGTAGATGAACTGTTTGGCCCTACTCAACCACAGCACTGTTGTTTTAGGGGGGCTGTTCAGAGACAGTCACTGGATTGGATGCTAAGTTTGTTCAAAAGGTCGGGAGTCTCTGGGTCTTTGGTCACAGTACTAGAGGATACAGTGGTCCTCCCTTTTTGCAGCTGGCTTTTCTTTTGGGACTTTTGTATGGTTTATCCAGGCTCCTTCAACCATTGGCTAACCAATGAATTCTTGAATTTTACCTTGGGTTTATTCCCATAAAG